CGAACAAGGGCTGCAAACTCGACGATAGGAACCGCATACAGTGGGCCACTAAGAAACCAAGACCTCCTAACTGGTGCGAGAAGATTAATTATTAAGAATAGAAATGGAAACATACCGTGGCGGTAAATTTTCGTTACTCACCGGGCTGTGCAACTTCTATGTGAAAAGATAGAATCAGAAGGTCGCTTCTATTAATGGGGTAAAGAGGGATAGGTTACGTAGGAGTAATCTTACAATCTATGCATTGTGATTACAACGTCTCTTTCCTTTTTAATCTTAATTTTCCATTTCTTTAATGAAACATTGACGGTGACAGTGTTTTGCATTAACATACCCCTAAGAGTCCTAGATTTCCCGTCCCGCATACAATCACGAAGCCCTCACCTCGGAGACAACTAGTCAATGTATCTTCTAAGAAGTGTTGCTCAAATAACGAGCCTGCTTAGGGAAGCATATACCGCGTTTACACGCCCGAAGATCATGAACGGAGGCAAGGCGCGTCGGCACCGCGAACGCGTTGACTACTGTTGAATCCGGATCATGTGGCGGCATATTTGTCAACCATAGAAGTCAGGTGCAGCCATCGGAACTCGTGCGCCCAACCACCTGAGTTACCCTAGATTGGGTTGAATGTTGACGCGTCGTTTTCACCTCCACCTTTGGTGCGGTTTCCCTAAAAGTTTCAGGACACCGACACTCAGCGACCCTCAACTAGCAGCTCTTGCCAGCTGCAAACTATATGCCAGGCCTGAATTGTGTTTTAAACACTGCACATATGAGTGGTAGGTCAAAAAGAGTGGTTCTAACTACAATGCGTACAGGGTAGAGATGCCAGTGAATCCGTATGCTACTGTGTTTTAATAATCATATTGACTTATGCCATGGCTTACTTGCAATTGATATACGTAATGGAGCTACGCACAGACACAAGTGAAGCGATCGAATGTAGAAGCTTCAACGCATTTAACCCAGTAAATGTTGTTTGATTACGCAGGGATGCTGAGTGCAGTTAACAATTGATTGTTATTATTGTTGTTATTGACTCCTTGCAGTC